CAAAAATGATGATCACGATTGTTTTCACTGAAACTGAGATCTCGATTATGTGACGATATTTATTTAACAATAACAATGTGTTGAATAATGACTTTAAAGTTTGTCAAAAAATAATATAAAATAGTGCAAATACTGATAACAGTGCAAATGTTTGCAATATAAAAATGAATGAAAAATGTAAACATCTGTGTTTAGTGAACTTTGCAGTGTTGCTCTGTGGTGCAGCTACACTGTAGCAAAGTTTACACACTGTGTCTACTTGATCCACGTCTGACTGAACCCATAATGTTTCCACACCACTGAAGGTTTTTACCTCTTTTCAACCAACGGCAGTCACTCTCCTCTCCAAATAACTTCGGCTTAGCTTTCCGAGCTTCCCTCGGGTCCTCTTAATCAGCGGTCCCCAACCCCCGGGCCTCGGACCGGTCCGTAAGTCGTTTGGTTCCGGGCCGCGAGAGTTGAGGCTCAGGTGTGAAATGTATGGTTTTTATCGATTTTCAGCGTTATTTTGTTATCGTTTTTATCGTTAACTCTGTTTTCCTGGGTCTTTTCAAGTGTGTTATGAATAAATCTTTTATTCGGTACTAGTTTTATTTTGTTGTATTTATCTGCAACACCTTAAAGGCCGGTCCATGAAAATATTGTCGGGCATAAACCGGTCCGTGGCGCAAAAAAGGTTGGAGACCGCTGCTCTTAATTGTTGTGACACGTGTTCGAAATGCAGAGAGGTGCGCTCGATTTGCCACACGGAGCAGCGCGAGAGTAAAGCGGGAGGGAGGGGCTATTGGCTCAGTCATTTTTAATGATCGTTGAAAATTCGATTAATTGAGCAGCCCTAAACACGGCTGATTTAAAGGCTAAATGACTTCAACACGTACTGAAGCTCTCCAGAGGCTGGGAATGAACTACTCATGCCAGTCAGGTGTGGAGACCCACCGGCCCTCGAAGCCTGGAGTTCCCCAGCCCTGTCCTGGACGATGAACGTGGTGAAAGTCGATCTGATTGTCAGGTGGAAGATTTTTGGCGGAGCGCTTTAACGGTGGTGTGGGGGGAGTGGTCTGAGCTCAGTTTCATCAGTCTGTAGGTCGCTGGTGTCTACATGGCCTCTATGCCTTGTGGTAACCATGGTAACAGGTGAGGGGAGGAGTCACTTGTCACCCGTGTCTCTGTCAGGTCTGGTGTCCAGCTCCAAGTCCAGTCTCTCGTACCTGGTGAGCCGTCCCGAAGGAGGGAACGTGGCCGTCGTCGCAGTGGGTGGAGCTTCCGAGGCTTTGGACGCTCGGCCCGGAGCTCTCACCTTACAGGTACGTGTAGTCCTGCTGTGACTGTGACTCGCAGCTCCGCCCCATCGCGGTTACATCACTGATGTAGAAAGAGGAAGCTGTGTGGAAACACACCGCACTCAGTGACATCATCGGGTTATTAGCACAGTGAAACATGAGGTCAGAGGTCACAGGCTGGACTAACCACATTTTAAATTTTAAATTCTGCTTTTCCTCACCGAGCGCCGTCTCCGTCTGTTTTTCAGGTTCAAAACAGGAAGGGCTTCATCAAACTGGCTCTGAAACATGGGTGGGTGGAGCCTGTAAAGAGGGCGGGGCCGAGAGGGCCAGGACTATCACCTGACTGACTGTGTTTGTCTGTGTGCAGAGCTCAGCTGGTTCCCGTCTTCTCCTTTGGAGAGAACGAGCTGTTTGATCAGATCGAGAACCCGACCGGCTCCCCTCTGAGGAGGCTGCAGGTCAGAGGTCACACCCCACATCACCGTAGACGCTTCAGGGTAACCTGCTCGATAAAGGAAGCACAGGGGGCCCTCACAACCTTCTACAATCATTTACCACAGCTCTGATTGACCCTATAGCAGCCTCTCAGCGGCCACAAAGCTGATACACTGAACATAATCTATTCATCGCTGCACTTTTACAGCTGCTTGAAATGACTGTGTGGCTATTATGGGATACCAGTGTGTTATCCTGTGTCTACAGAACCGACTGCAGAGCATCATGGGAATAGCCATGCCTTTGTTTCATGCCCGAGGAGTTTTCCAGTACAGCTTCGGCCTGATACCCTACAGGAAGCCCATACGCACCATCGGTACGAGCACACAGCTTCAACCCGACCCTGACTCAGTGTTTATCCCAGCTTAATATAATGCTAACCTGATGCTGTTGCACTGTCGTTCCTCTAATATAGACTCAGAGCTAGCCTAATGGTAACTCCATCTGTATCCCGTGTTGACTCAATGCTAACTTGATGCTATTGCACCGTCCTGCGCCTGGCGCGTCCTGCCATTGTTGCACACTTGTCCTTTATGTCGTCCTGTGTTTTTGTGTTGAACACTGTGTCGTTTCACTGTGTACTGTATGGTTAAAAGGACCATCAAGCCTCTTCACTTGACTTGCTGACCTTTATGGTGTTCATCTAATGCTAAACCACAGCTAACCAAGTGTACACCACACTGAGCACTAGGAGGGGGTTGTGTTGGTCTGCTTTAGTCCCTTTGAGTCCGTATCAGCTCCCGTTCCTATCTCAGTTTTTAAACACCCTCTACCCTTTATCTCTGGCCCAGTGTCAGCCTGTGTCAGCCCCGTTGGCTGCTTGTTGGGTTTATCTAGGCACAAAGCTGCTGGAACACAAGCCCAAACTGCACAACCAAACCGACAAGACGGAGCTCTTTGCCCTTGTTAGCGAGGGACGTCAGCCCAGGCCTTCACCTGTCCTAATTGAATATGCAATTACAAATACTTGTGGCATTGTTAAGCAGGTATACCTGAACAACATCAGTGTCTGCAGTCTGTGTGCGTGGGTGCAGCTGTACCATAGATAGACATGCAACCTTTCAATGCACTTAAACTGTGTCTGCAGGACAGCAGAGTAGGCGTCTCACTAAATGATCAGAACAGGAGGTTGCAATAGGTCATGTGTCAGATGAGCATCTAAAGGTCAGGACAGTTTCTAAAGCTCTGATGGAAATGATAACGTCGAGGCTGCTTCCTCGTCTCGTGGTACACAAGTGCACACAGAATCTCATCAGACCTAACAAGGATCTGATTGTTATCAGCATACGAGTGATGTATGTTTCTAAGCATAAAGAACGATATAAAAAATCAATTCCAACACTGCTGTCAGCCTCATGCCTCTCTCTGCCTCTGCCCTCAGTGGGGAAGCCCATCCCAGTGGTCCAGACTCCGAGTCCCAGCAGCGAGGACATCGAGAGTCTTCATAAAGTCTACCTGCAGAATCTCGCTGAGCTCTTCGAGCAACACAAACGCAGCTACGGCCTTGCTGACGACCAGCACCTCGCCTTCATCTGATGGAGCGCGTGAACATTGAACCATGAACTACATTCATGTAAACACCTGACCTGTGTGTGACTTGCATGTGATTTCACTATGAGTTGGATCTGCTTGCAGAGCCTGTTGACTTAAATTGGAAATTCCAAAGCTGCTATCAGGAAGCACTGATTACAATAGCAAAAGCTAACAGTGCTGGGAGGAGCCATGCATTTAAATAGGAGCTAACACACAGTGGGAAGCATTCTTGCAGGAATCTGCCTGTAATGGGCTTTGCTAACGTTAATGCTAATGGAACTTTCATGGTACGTTTAAGGGTGTCATAAAGACTACTCTCGTGGGTTTATGTGCAATAAATCATGTAATAGGATCACAGGTAAATGGACTGGTTCTTATTTTGTGCTTTCCTGCTTCGAGCACTCCTAGCGATTTACACAATTCACCCACAGTCATACTCCGATGGATGCGTCAGAGAGCAACATGAGGTTACTGTCTTACTCGAGGATGTTTTGCATGCGGACCGGAGCAGACGAGGGTCGAACCACGAGCCCTCCGGTTAGTAGCTCTGCTCTAACCTGAGCTACAGCCACAGGTGTGGCAGCACAGGGGGTGGTGCAGTGTGAGTCAGAGCTGTTTGCCTATAAGCAGAGACCCTGGAGGACTGAAGCTGCAGATGCTGAAACATCTGGAAATAAACTGAAGCTACGTCTTTGAATTGTTTCCCTTGTTTAAAGTGTTTGGCATGGACGAGCTGAGCGTTGGAGGGTCTTCATGAGCTGTGACTGATGCTGAGCGTCTGCTCGGCAGCAGGTTATGTTGAGAGGGGATGCTCACGGGGATCTTCTGACCTGTGAATTTCCCCAGAGAGCCGAGGTTACCAGAGACATAAATAAATACACTTCACGATTCACATTGATCTGATTTGAATGATGCAATATTCAATAAATTCTGGTAATTGGATTCCACGAAAGCGTGTCAACAGAAAGCAGAGGTCCGACGGCACATGCACGCACATGCTGCTGAGAGCAGAGGTATCACAGGTTTCATCCCTCCGGACAAAAATTCACTGAAGCAGCAGAAAAAGAAAACAACGCTTCACGTTGGAAGAACATCATGAGTTCTTTATCTACAGCTCTCAGTACCAATAATCAGCTATGTGCTGCAGGCCTTCAGGCTCCCAGTCGTTAAACCGTGACGGTAACGTCTGTGGACCCAGCAGTCCTACCTAATTATCTCCACCCTTCCTGTTTGATCGACTGCAAGCAGGTATCTGCTATAAAACGCCAGGCCAGGAAAATCTGCTTTGTCTGTTTCCTCCTCAGCTACACAAAGACATCTGCTCACAGCGCCAGCTTTGGCTAAATGCATGTGTACAGTGAGGCTGTGATTGCAGAGGAATAGTGAAATAATTTGAACGCAGGAGCTTCAGAGGGTTCCTTCGACAGCACGCTGATCTGAACTCTTGTATGATTTATATTATTGTTCATTATAATATTTATGAGCTGAGCTGAATCCGGTCAGAGGTCAGTGCTGACACGCAGGCTGCTCAGTAACGCTCGCTTTCACCTTTAAAGACACACGTGTGTGCACTTTGAACCAAACTTTATTGACAACACGTTTACGGTAAAGACCCCTCCTCTCTCCCCACTGCGCAGGCGCTAACTCTGTCAGAGTCTGTCGTGCACGCGCACGTCGGTGCTCGGACGTGATCCGGATCGGACCCGGACCTGGCTGCGCGTTCACGAGCTGGTACAGAGACGCGCACGCTGTTAGGATGGAGAGGAAGAGGAGGAGCGTGCAGTGACGGAGCGCAGGGTGTTTGTTTACAGAAGAAGAGGAGGAAGAGGTGAAGCTGCACCTCAGAAGAGTCTCGCTCCTGAAACAGCGCGAGGAGAGGAGGAGGAAGAGGAGGAAGAGTCCCCAACTTCTGACTCCGTAAACTTCCTGCACGCTCCACGGTCGGGCCGTGCTACCGCGCATGCGCCCTGAAGTTTTCACCCCATCGGAACACAATGGACCGATTGTGACGTCACCGGTTGCTTATCCGGATCTGAACCAGTGACGGCGGCGGGAGCGCGCCTCGGCTCAGCGCGTGACCGTGAGTGTTTACTGAGAAGTAAACTTTACGTAACTTTTGCTAAAATCCAAACATGTTTTACAAACACACGTTTGACAGACACACAAAGACACACGTCAGCTCCTCCCTCCACCGTGTCCAGAACATGCAGCTCTGCTGACACAGGTCGTCGTTGACCTTCATCGACCTGTGGCTCAGGGTGCGCTGGTGCTACAGGACACCTTTAGGTTCGGACACGGTGTTCGTTATGGACACGCTGTGGTTTCCACAGAAGACCAACAACTCAGCACCGCTCGGGTTCAGATCCAGGAGGCCGTTCCTCCTAACCACACCCCTCCAGGTCTCGCTGTCGTTGTCCATATGAGCGCTGACGTCTCCCAGCAGGACAACAGGGTCCCCAGGTGGGGAACCCTCCAGCGCCCCACCCGGGGACTCAAGGAAAGCTGGGTACTCAGAACCGTTGTCCCGCGAATAAGTGCAGACGACAGTCACACTTAACTGCTTCCCACCAGGGAGGTGACATTCCACGTCCCAGTTACTAGTCTTGGTAGCCGGGGTTCGGCCCACCAGGGCTGCCTGACACACGTTGCACCCGACCCCTACGATGCCTCCTGCGGGCGGTGGGCCTCTTTTTACCTTTTTTGGCTGTGCCCGGCCGGGCCCTAACGGACTAAGGCCCGACCCCCAGACTCTCGCACTCGGGCACCCTCGCAGGTCTGGCTCCAGGTCGGGGCCCCGGTAACTTTATCCCAGGCAGGGTGAACATCACCATTAAAGCTGTTTTTTAAGTTATCGTCCCTGCAGAACCGTCTGCACCATGAGATACTCGTATGCTGAGATCTCCAGTAACTAGTATCATCTGTAGTACAGTCAGATTCTGACGACACAACAGCAGAATTAGACTGCTCAGCAAAAACAAATATGGCTTTATGTTATGAAGTAAAAATGTAAGTGAAACACAGGAAGTGCAATCAAAACAAAACAGGTGGGAGCTGGTCCCACTGTTTCTTACATACAACCAAAAATAAATAAGTAAAACTTTGTTTACAAAAGCTGTAATTTATGTTTTATTACAGTTTTATTAAAGCTCAAAGTTTTGTTGAAGCGGTGTTTCAGGCTTTGAGGGTCAGTTAGCAAAGTGACCAAAAGTCTGTGGACACACCTTCATGTTCAGAAACCAACATCATCATTATCACGTGGTCCACCTTAACTCAGCTAGCCAATCACAGCACAGCTCTGAGAACTCCGAGTGCCTCACCTGACCCGGAGAGTGAAGGGTTAAACCCTGCAGAACCTAAAAAACACACACACACACACACACACACACACAGTCATGTTGTGCAACAGTCTGAAGCAACACAGCTGAGCAGGGTGGAGTGAACAGGAAGTAGAGAAGAAGCAGAGTGGGATCTGCAGGGCGGTGCACTCTTCTGGACAGACAGACTGCACGAGGGGTGAGACACGTTACTGCTTTTACTCGGACCTCTGCCTCCACACACTGTGTTGGTTTTTGTGCTCTACGGGGACCTGGGTGTGTACATGCTTCTCTGAGGACTTCGAGTGTATTGTGTGTGTTAGTTTTTGTGCTTTATGTGGACGTACCAGAGGTCTGTGCATCTGACGACTTAGTCCACTGATGTAGACCACCTGCGTTTATTGTGAGGCTACGTCCCCAGGATGCGGATCAACACACGTGCACATGCTCAGTGTGTCCTGTTTGGACATAAACAGCAGTGAATGTTAGGAGGCGTACCTGTCAGGTGTCTTCACACTGGACTGTGGTTAAAGCTGAACTTTGACCCCTAAGCTCCTCCTCTGTAGATCAAAAATCCATGTTTATTCTTAATTGTGTTTAATTTTTTAAGCTTGTGTCTCTGAAATGTCCCCATAAACCACATTAACTGGTGTACTCTGCTGTGTGTCAGTGAGCCTGTGGAGTGTGTGCGTGAGAATGAGTGGTGGTAAAAAGAGGAGTGGCTTTCAGATCACCAGCGTGACTTCAGAGGTGAACCAGAGTCCAGCAGACCAATTGTCTCCTAGCGCTGTCCTGCCCATCATCCAATCAGAGGTCTCTCTGCAGTCCCCCCTCTGCAGCCCTCAGGGAAGCTCCTCCCAGCCAACCACACCCTCTCTGAAGAGGAAGTACGTCTCCCTCGATGGCGGGCAGGGGGCGGGGTCTTCCTCCAGGTTCAGGGTGGTGAGACTAGTGAGCGGAGCCGGCGGCGGAGGCCGGGGTGAATCGTATCGTCGCGGGCGATGGATGTGCACAGAGTTCACAGAGCGGCAGGAAGGCCCGGGGTTCAGGCGGGTAATGGACAGCATGAGACACGCCCACTCCTTGGAGTCCCTGGAGATGATTGGCCGGGAAAGCGAGTGGGGTGGAGTCCACTCTCAGGACAACACCCATATGCTGGCTCAGCACGTGCTGCACAGCGGCCCGCCTTCACCCACGCACCAAACGCCAGCTAATGTCCGGCTGCTCGACCACAAGGAGTCACGCCTTGTGGTCGAGCAGGGCTTAGGCTCCACCCCTCCACCACCTTCACCCCGCCCACGCTTCGCCCCAACTCCTCTGCGGCTGGATGTGGACGCCTCAGGACGGGTAAACACACACACAGACACTCGTTTTAATGCCTTAGTGAGGACATCAATCTGACATAATATTTTTGCTAGCCTCTTACCCTAACCCTCAGAAACGACCTAATCTGGACTAACCCGGACTAGCCCAGACCTAATCTGGACTAACCCGGGCCTGACCAGAACCTCATTTAACTCCAAAGCACAACCACAGTGGGCTTTATGTTCAAATGTAAAGAGAAAACCCACCAATCAGCAGCCATATCCCTACTCCTCTGTGAAGCATTTGGTTCCCACAAAGACATTTAGACAAGTATACACGCACACACACGTGTCCTACTGCCTGACTCAGGCGTGATCTCTGCACAGGTGGAGGCTGTTAGCTGCACGCCTTCTCGTTTGCGACGTAGCTGAGTTAGCAGCACCTGTTCTGCTCTGCAGTTTCACCCCTGACACACTAGGGGGCGGTGCAGCTGCTAACAGAGGTGGGGCTAGGGCGTCAGCTGCTTGTGATGTCACAGCTGCAGCTGATCGAGCTGATTGTTGATCAGGTCATTGGAATAATAAAAACATGTACGTGCAGCAGTGACATCAGAGCAACATGTGACATCATCATGACATCACTGAGGAAACCCGCTGGTATATAAAATGAATCTTTAATGTTAGAACATTGCTCGTTGTTTTTACGACAGTCACTCACACCTGTGTCTCACCTGTCAGTCTGTCCTCAGGCTGTCTCACTCTCAGCCTGGCTCCCCCCCTGCTGGACTGTACCAACCCCCTCTGACCCCCGCTCAGACGCCGTCAGGCTTCAGCCTGGACCGCACCATGTTCGACCTGCCGGGGGACGCCAGGTGAGTGTGTTTAACAGGTGTTTGTGATGTCACTGCTCAGTGGGAGGAGTCAGGATGCTTCTCAGAGGTCAGCTGATTAGTTTTCAGTGTTTGGTTTGTTTGTGATTGATCAGGTTGATTGATTGAATGATGAACCCGGACTTTCACAATAAAAGTCCACCCTGTTTGAACTGCGTGCGTCTTAGAGGGCGGTGATGTCATACAGTTTCAGGTAACAGCCAATAAAACACCTGAGAGTCAAACTGACATTAAAGACAACTAATGGACCAAAACGCCTGGAAACCAACCACAGAAATGTCAGCGATCAATATCAGTGATCAGGAATTAATTACTGATCAATACCAGTGAGTGATTACTGATTAGTTCCAGTAATGAGCAGGCAGTTGGTCGTTTCCATGGTCCCTCCGTCTGAATCAATGGGCCTCTGTCTGCGAGTGGGCGGGAGAAGAATGCTGCTGCTGCCTTGCCATTGGCTGAGACCGTGAGTGGGCAGGAGCTGGCAGGCAGCAGCCAATCAGAGAGCAGAGATGTGTGGGAGTGACAGAGAACATGAAGATCTGAAGTCTGGACGCACCTTAGTCTGAAGACAACATCTGGATACAGCTGCTGACATTTACACACCTGTGAGCTCACAAGGAGGCAGCCAATCAGGGGCCACCTGGGAAGGCGGAGTCAGAGGTATTACGATTACCTTAAGCTGATTGGAGTTTGCTCTGATGGTGTGCTGTGATTAGTTGGTGCTCTGTGGTGAAGTTCTCACTGGATGTTTCCTGTTGTGCTGTGCTGTGATTGGACTGGGTTTTTTTTTCAGAGTGCTGTGATTGGACTGTAAAATATGTAGCTGAGTTCTGATTGGCTGGTGTTTCAGTGGGCCTCCATCAGCTGAAGATGTTTGTAGGTGAGAAGAAGAGGACCTGTCAAACACGTCCTCAGCGCCGTCTCCCTTCGACTCCGCCCCTTCCTCCCAGGACTCTGCAGCTTGTTGCTAAGCAACTGGAGCCTCCAGTTGTCTTACGGGATCATACAAAGGTCAAAGGTCGTGGCTCAGCTGTCAGGGAGTCCTGGCCAAGTTCTAGGACATCGATCCAAGAACTCAAACCACGGGTGACTCAGAGGTCCCTGACCCCTCCCTCCAGAGCTCAGCCTGTCACAGAGGCCCGCCACCGATCCACCAATCAACCACAGCCATCCCAGCGACCCCAGAATCCTCTGCGTCACACTGCCCCGCATCCTCATTGGTCAGTTCCTGCCAGGGCTTCACCCACCGGGCAGGGCTCTGAGGCCACTATGATGGCTCTGCTGCTGTTCTGCAACAGGTAACCACGGTAACCCGGGCGGGGTTCAGATTCACCTGCAAAATAATAAATATGTGATAGTACCTGTCCAGGGCACCGTCGTAATGGAGATTTATCATTTCAGTGGGTTTGTTCATGGTTAGATAAAGTAATAACAGGTGAGAAGAACATCTGTGCAGATTAGAGATGGACCGATCCGATATTACGTATCGGTATCGGTCTGATACTGACCTAAATTACTGGATCGGATATCGGAGAAAAATAAAAAATGTAATCCGATCCATTAAATATCACGAAAGTACCTCACAAAACTTGCAACACGCCGTAACTCGCCTCAGAACGTTAGCACGTCGGAGCAGTATGCATCACGTGATAGAGCGGCTGTGGCATGCAGGACCTGTCGGTGGTCTGGATAGCATGTGGAGCTTCGCTAGCAACCCGGCATTTCATCTCCGACAAAGTTATCCCGAGAGAAGTAAAGCAAGTGTGTAAGTCCATCTCTGAATGTTTGTAAAGCATTCCTGCGTTAAGCTTAACAACTGATATATGGAGCGACTGCCTCTCCTACTGCTACTTCAATCATGAAACTGCTTAATGATCAGCTGATCGGCTTTTCTGTCGCGAGTCCGTGTCTCTGGTTTGTTTTTGGCCCACTTTGCACCAGAAAGAGGAAACCAGCGGCTGAACAACAGCAGCACGTTTAAGCTTGATAAGCTGTTGTTAGAATGTATTTAATATTACTTTCTACTCCAGGATCTTTTTCTACGTAGCTGACGGCTGGTAACTGTGCAGGGGTGGATCTAGCAAAGTTTAGCCAGGGGGGCCGATAGGGCATTAATGAATGAATAATGAATGAATATTCTTTATTGTCATTGTCACAAGTACAATGAAATTGAAAGATGTCTCCGGTCAGTGCAACATCACGAAAGATAAATACTTAAAAACTATAATAGATATGTTATAAAAGATAGAAATACATATAAAATACAGTATTCTCATACAGTAAATACACCCAAGCAATCCAGGCCTAAGGCCCCATACAGACACTCAACATACGACCTAGTTGATATATCACTCAAACAATCAATCACTCAGTCAATTTGTTAGCGCATCCAACAAAACATGTCTGAAAGCATTCCAACATCAAGGGCACAAATGACAACAGGGGCAATGAAAGTCATCTACTTTTAGTAGCATTGAGACATGATATTGCAATTGGGTAGAAACTGTGTTTGAGTCTGTTAGTCCTTGTGTATGTTGTTCTATACCGTTTACCTGAAGGCAGCAGTTCGAACATGGAGTGTCCAGGGTGTGAGGTGTCCTTTATGATGTTATGGGCTCTTTTGAGGCAGCGGGAACTGTGTAGGTCTTTCAGTTTGAGGAGAGGGCAGCCGATTGTCCTTTGGGCAGCGTTGATTACTCCCTGGAGTGCTTTCCTCTGAGCCACTGTGCAGCTAGCGTACCATATGCCTATGCAGTACGTTAGTATGCTTTCGATGGACATACTTTTCTTTCTTATTCTCATTTAAAATGTCGAGCTTTTAATAAATAATTATCTGAATCTTACACCCAAAGTTTTAATTTGATGTAAAATGAATAGAAGTCAATTACTGTATATAGTGACTATTAAGTCTAATATATATATACCCTAGTAAGCTATAGTACTTTTTACTTTGGGAAGGTACCATCTGTGCAGTCTGCAATTTTGTTGAAGAAAGATGTTGAATCTATTTAATATTTCTTGAAAAATAATTGATTTCTGTGCATTTTTTTCACACTGCATCAAATTAAGGTTGATTACGTCGATTAAGCATCATGAGGTGGAGTGTGAGGGGTGGTTCCCTATTTTTTATTTATTTATTTTTGTTGTTGCTGGGAGTTGGAACCCTATTAGTTAGGTTGCTTAATATTTACGCTAAGTACTCTTTAAATACCAGAATAGGGAGGATGGTGTAGGTTTAAGTTTATTAGATTGATCAGTATTGCTGAACTATGAAATATTTTTTTTTGCATACAGGTATAACAGAATAGCTTTAGTGTAGTTGTTGTTTTAAACTTGAGTATGAACTTATACAAAATGCAGCAAGATATTTTAAAAAACAGTTTTGTTGATTAAAAAACACTATATCGGATTCATATCGGTATCGGCAGATATCCAAATTTATGATATCGGTATCGGACATAAAAAAGTGGTATCGTGCCATCTCTAGTGCAGATGTGGATAAAGGTGCTGATAACGGTCATTCACCTGTCTCAAAGTCACCTATCAGATAGTCACCTGCCTTTCTCACCTGCCTGTCTCAGCTGCCTGTCTCTCACCTGCCTGTCTCTCACCTGTATGTCTCTCACCTGTCTGTCTCACAGGCCTGTCTCTCACCTGCCTGTCTCTCACCTGTCTGTCTCACTTGCCTGTCTATCACCTGTCTGTCTCTCACATGTCTGTCTCACCTGCCTGTCTCTCACCTGCCTGTCTCTCGCCTGTCTGTCACCTGTCTGTCTCACTTGCCTGTCTATCACCTGTCTGTCTCTCACCTGTCTGTCTCACCTGCCTGTCTCTCACCTTTCTGTCTATCACCTGTCTGTCTCACCTTCCTGTCTATCACCTGTCTGTCTCTCACCTGTCTGTCTCACATGCTTGTCTCTCACCTTTCTGTCTTTCACTTGTCTGTCTTGCCTGCCTGTCTCTCACCTGTCTCTCACCTGCCTGTTTCTCACCTGCCTGTCTCTCACCTGTCTGTCTCACAGGCCTGTCTCTCACCTGCCTGTCTCTCACCTGTCTGTCTCTCACCTGCCTGTCTCCCACCTGCCTGTCTATCACCTGTCTGTCTCACCTGCCTATTTCTCACCTGCCTGTCTCTCACCTGTCTGTCTCACTTGTCTGTCTCTCACCTGCCTGTCTCTCACCTGTCTGTCTCTCACCTGCCTGTCTCTCACCTGTCTTTCTCACCTGTCTGTCTCTCACCTGTATTTTTTTAACCTGTCTGTCTCTCACCTGCCTGTCTCTCACTTGCCTGCCTCACCTGCCTGTCTCTCACCTGTCTGTCTCACAGGCCTGTCTCTCACCTGCCTGTCTGTCTCACATGCCTCTCTCTCACCTGTCTCTCTCTCACGTGTCTCTCTCACCTGCCTGTCTATCACCTGTCTATCTCACCTGCCTGTCTTTCTCAGCTGTCTGCCTCTCACCTGTGTGTCTCACCTGCCTGTCTCTCACCTGTGTGTCTCTCACCTGTCTGTCTCACCTGCCTTTCTCTCACCTGCCTGTCTCACCTGCCTGTCTGCCTCTCACCTGTGTGTCTCACCTGCCTGTCTCTCACCTGTGTGTCTCTCACCTGTCTGTCTCACCTGCCTTTCTCTCACCTGCCTGTCTCACCTGCCTGTCTGTCTCTCACCTGCCTGTCTCTCATTTGCCTGTCTATCACCTGCCTGTCTCTCACCTGTCTGCCTCACCTGCCTGTCTCTCACCTGTCTGTCTCACATGCCTGTCTCTCACCTGCCTGTCTGTCTCACTTGCCTGTCTATCACCTGTCTATCTCACCTGCCTGTCTTTCTCACCTGTCTGCCTCTCACCTGTGTGTCTCACCTGCCTGTCTCTCACCTGTGTGTCTCTCACCTGCCTGTCTCACTTGCCTTTCTCTCACCTGCCTGTCTCTCACCTGTCTGTCTCACCTGCCTTTCTCTCACCTGCCTGTCTCTCACCTTTCTGTCTCACTTGCCTGTTTATCACCTGTCTGTCTCACCTGCCTGTCTGTCTCACCTGTCTGTCTCACATGCCTGTCTCTCACCTGTCAGTCTCTCAACTGTCTGTCTGTCTCTCTCTCACGTGTCTGTCTCACCTGCCTGTCTCTCACCTGTGTGTCTCTCACCTGTCTGTCTCACCTGCCTTTCTCTCACCTGCCTGTCTTTCACCTGTCTGTCTCACCTGCCTTTCTCTCACCTGTGTGTCTCTCACCTGTCTGTCTCACTTGCCTGTTTATCACCTGTCTGTCTCACCTGCCTGTCTGTCTCACCTGTCTGTCTCACCTGCCTGTCTCTCACCTGTCTGTCTCTCAACTGTCTGTCTGTCTGTCTCTCACCTGTCTGCCTCACCTGCCTGTCTCTCACCTGTCAGTCTCTCAACTGTCTGTCTGTCTCTCTCTCACGTGTCTGTCTCACCTGCCTGTCTCTCACCTGTCTGTCTCACCTGCCTGTCTTTCTCACCTGTCTGTCTCACCTGCCTGTCTGTCTCACCTGTCTGTCTCACCTGCATGTCTCTCACCTGTATGTTTCACCTGTCTTTCTCACCTGCCTGTGTCTCACCTGCCTGTCTCTCGCCTGCCTGCTCACTGCTGTCACCTGCCTGTCCTCACCTGCCTGTCTCTCACCTGCCTGTCTCACCTGCCTGTCTCTCACCTGCCTGTCTCTCACTTGCCTGTCTGTCACCTGTATGTCTCACCTGTCTGTCTCTCACCTTCCTGTCTCTCACCTGTATGTCTCACCTTCCTGTCTCTCACCTGTATGTCTCACCTGCCTGTCTCACCTGCCTGTCTCTCACCTGTCAGTCTCTCACCTGCCTGTCTCTCACCTGTCTTTCTCACCTGTCTGTCTCTCACCTGCCTGTCTCTCACTTGCCTGCCTCACCTGCCTGTCTCACCTGCCTGTCTCACCTGCCTGTCTCTCACCTGCCTGTCTCTCACCTGTATGTCTCACCTTCCTGTCTCTCACCTGTATGTCTCACCTGCCTGTCTCACCTGCCTGTCTCTCACCTGCCTGTCTCTCACCTGTATGTCTCACCTGCCTGTGTCTCACCTGCCTGTCTCTCGCCTGCCTGTCTCTCAGCTGTCTCTCACCTGCCTGTTTCTCACCTGTCTGTCTCACCTGTCTGTCTCACCTGCCTGTCTGTCACCTGTATGTCTCACCTGTCTGTCTCTCACCTTCCTGTCTCTCACCTGTATGTCTCACCTTCCTGTCTCTCACCTGTATGTCTCACCTGCCTGTCTCACCTGCCTGTCTCTCACCTGTATGTCTCACCTTCTGTCTCTCACCTGTATGTCTCACCTGCCTGTCTCACCTGCCTGTCTCTCACCTGCCTGTCTCTCACCTGTATGTCTCACCTGCCTGTCTCACCTGCCTGTCTCTCACCTGCCTGTTTCTCACCTTTCTGTCTCACCTGTATGTCTCACCTGCATGTCTCACCTGCCTGTCTCTCACCTGTCTCTCACCTGTCTGTCTCACCTGTCTGTCTCACCTGCCTGTCTCTCACCTGTCTGTCTCTCTGTGTCTTGCAGTAGTTCCAGTACCAGTTTGATCGCCATCGACAACAAAATTGAGCAGGCCATGGTGAGTCCTGTTTCTACGTTTCTAGTCGTCTATCAGGCGTCGATCTATAAACCTTTGTATCTGTTGCTGGTAGATTCTGTCATGAAGACATCAAGTCGTCTGTTGTTTTTCTAGTTGTATATTTACTCTTTGCAGTGAGAGAGAGTTTGTCTGTGACTCTGTTCCTGTGTAGATATTTCAGTTCTGTAGTTATTTGATTTCACCTTGATTGAAACGAGGATAACCTGACTCCTGAGGTTAAGGATCTGTTGTGTGAGAGGGTCCTGACTGAGAGACAGTCAGCAGTGGTTAAACAACAGCTGTAAAGGTTTCTGAGCCAACTCTGATGGTGGTCCTCCGTCAGGTCGGTCCTGGCTCAGTTTGTCCTCAATCTGAGGTTGAATGCATACATTCCAAGTATGCATGTAGAGCTGTTCAGATCTGTCCCTGCTGCTGACGACCATAAATGTGACACCGTTCTGTGGTTACAAACGTCTCTCAGTGAGGACATATGAGCAGGAGGTCTCCTCTATGCTGATGATGCTGTTAATCACACAATGCTCCCTCTGTAGGACGGGCTTTATGATTGGCTAGTTTATTTATGCACATCACGTGTGTGTGTGTGTAGGACCTGGTGAAGAGTCACCTGATGCTGGCGGTGAGGGAGGAGGTGGAGCTTCTGAGAGAACAAATCAGAGAGCTGCAGGAGAGGAACCGGCAACTGGAGAGAGAGAACCACACGCTGAGGGCGCTGACCCACAGCATGCACACTCAATAACACACACACTAACACACACACACACTAACACACTCACACGTGCCGTCATGTCAGGGTTAACAGGACGGCGTTCCGGCTCCTGCGTTTTCTGATCAGCTGATGCTTCAGAGACACTCGCTGTGCCCTCCTGCTCGTCCTCCTTCATGTACCTGTAGTACTGTTGAACTGCAGTATTTGTGGTACTGTGTACTGATGAAAGGTGTGTGTGTGTGTGTGTGTGTGCAAGTACTTACAGCATCTGACAAAAGTGAGCACACCCTGACATTTCTGTAAATGTTGTGTTAGCTCCTTTCATGGGACAACATTGTAGGTAACAAAAGAGAGAAGACCCGAGGTGAAAATGTCCAAACTGTGCCCAAAAGTATTATGTTTGGCCACCATTATTTTCCAACACTGCCTCAACTCTGTTGGTCATGGAGTTCACTGGAGCTCCACAGAGTGCCGCTGAATCCTCTCCCACTCCGATGACATCATGGAGCTGGTGGATGTTAGACCTTGCACTCCTCCACCTTCCATTTGAGGATGCCCCACAGATGCTCAGTAGGGTTTGGAGACATGGTTGGTCTGAGCACTGACAGGCTGACCCTCCACGCCTCTGCACCAATGCTGGCAGCACTCATACCTGTTTTCAAAGACAACCTCTGGATATGACACTGAGCACGTGCACTCAGCTTCTTTTGTCGACCATGTCCTGTTAAACTGCTGGATGGTCTCGACCACCGTGCTGCAGCTCAGTTTCAGAGTGTTGGCGAGTCACGTGACACCAGGGAGGGAAAATGGCTAATCGGGCTCAGTTTGGACATCTTCACCTATGGCTGTACTCTCTTTTGTTTCCCAGGGATTCAGTCACTAATGGCTGTGGGTGGAGTTATTTAGAGGTGACACCAAATGTGCACTGTTGTACAAGCTGCTTACTTTACATTGTATCAACGTGTCAGATTGACAGTGTGTCCTGTGAAAAGATGTAACGAAATATCTCCAAAAATGTGAGGCTGTGCTCTGTGTGCGAGTGTGTGTCTGTGTGCGAGTGTGTGTCTGTGTGTGTTTGTGTGCGTGTGTGTGTGTGTGTGTGTGTGTGTCTGTGTGCGTGTGTGTGTGAGTGAGTGTGTCTGTGTGTGTCTGTGTGCGTGTGTGTGTCTGTGTGCGAGTGTGTGTCTGTGTGTGTGTGAGTGAGTGTGTCTGTGTGTGTCTGTGTGCGTGTGTGTGTGTGTGTGTGTGTGTGTGCGAGTGTGTGTCTGTGTGCGAGTGTGTGTGTGCAAGTGTGACTGTGTGTGTGTGTGAGTGAGTGTGTCTGTGTGTGTCTGTGTGCGTGTGTGTGTCTGTGTGTGTGTGAGTGAGTGTGTGTCTGTGTGTGTGAGTGTGTCTGTGTGCATGTGTGTGTGCGAGTGTGTGTCTGTGTGCGAGTGTGTGTGTGCAAGTGTGTCTGTGTGCGAGTGTGTGTGTCTGTGTGTGAGTGTGTGTGTCTGTGTGTGCGAGTGTGTGTTTCTGTGTGTGTTTGTGTGCGTGTGTGTGTGTGTCTGTGTGCGAGTGTGTGTTTCTGTGTGTGCGAGTGTGTGTGTCTGTGTGCGAGTGTGTCTGTCTGTGTCTGTGTGCGAGTGTGTCTGTGTGTGCGAGTGTGTCTGTGTGCGAGTGTGTGTGTGTGTGTGTGTGTGTGTGTGTGTCTGTGTGTGCGAGTGTGTCTGTGTGCGAGTGTGTCTGTCTGTGTCTGTGTGTGTGTGTCTGTGTGCGAGTGTGTCTGTCTGTGTCTGTGTGCGAGTGTGTCTGTCTGTGTGTGTGTGTGTGTCTGTGTGTGCGAGTGTGTCTGTGTGCGAGTGTGTCTGTCTGTGTGTGTGTCTGTGTGTGCGAGTGTGTGTGTCTGTGTCTGTGTGCGAGTGTGTGTGTCTGTGTGTGTGTGTGTGTCTGTGTGCGAGTGTGTCTGTCTGTGTCTGTGTGTGTGTGTCTGTGTGCGAGTGTGTGTGTCTGTGTGCGAGTGTGTGTGTCTGTGTGTGTGTGTGTGTCTGTGTGTGCGAGTGTGTCTGTGTGCGAGTGTGTCTGTCTGTGTCTGTGTGCGAGTGTGTGTGCCTGTGTGTGCGAGTGTGTCTGTGTGTGCGAATGTGTGTGTCTGTGTGTGTGAGTGTGTCTGTGTGTGCGAGTGTGTGTGTCTGTGTGCGAGTGTGTGTTTCTGTGTGTGCGAGTGTGTGTGTCTGTGTGCGAGTGTGTCTGTGTGCGAGTGTGTGTGTCTGTGTGTGTGTGTGTGTCTGTGTGTGCGAGTGTGTCTGTGTGCGAGTGTGTGTTTCTGTCTGTGTGAGTGTGTGTGTCTGTGTGCGAGTGTGTGTGTGTGCGAGTGTGTCTGTGTGTGTCTGTGTGCGTGTGTGTGTCTGTGTGTGTGTGTGTGTCTGTGTGTGTGTGTCTGTCTGTGTGTGCGAGTGTGTCTGTGTGCGAGTGTGTGTGTGTGTGTGTGTCTGTGTGTGCGAGTGTGTCTGTCTGTCTGTGTGCGAGTGTGTCTGTCTGTGTGTCTGTGTGTGTGTGTGTGTGTGTGTGTGTGTGTGTGTGTGTGTGTGTGTGTGTGTGTGTGTCTGTGTGTGTGTGTGTCTGTGTGTAGGTGTGGAGGACAGTGAGGATGATGGGTGGAGTCAGCAGCTCAGCTCCAGGCAGCAGAGGTGTTGTCAGAAACCGATGGACGAGTCAGAGCTGATGGTTTGAAACTCCTTCTTTGAGAGCCCCTCCCACCCCGAGGAGGTTACTTCCTGTTTAAAGGGAGTTTTTCCTCCCCACTGTCCCACCGTGTGAAGCACTCGGAGGCGACTGTTGTGATTTGTGCTGCAAAGTAATCGTCCAAGGTGTCCCGATGATGTGTTTCAGTGTGGCTGCTGAGGAAGGAGTTGCTTCATCAATTTGAACTGTAGCTCAGGATCAGCGGGCTCCGCCCTCACCATGGGTCAGGCTGGACCCACTGTGACCCCTGATCACTCACACACACAGACACACACACACACACACACGCATCCTGTAACACAGTAACCCAGAATGTGCCTTACTGACCTCACCTGACGGTGTGGGCGTGGCCTAACGGTCGCACCTGGGACTGTTTGTATTAGCCGTCCAGATGCTGATGCTGATGATGAAGAGTAGAGTCTAATAAATTAATAAAGCCTTACAGACTGATGTTTGTGTGGTCCCTCTGTGTTTGCTGTCTCTCTGTGGGGTATGACGTCACACACAGTGCATGCTGGGATACTGGGTCAGGCTGACAGATGGAGAGAAAACAGCCAAATCAGAGAAAGGAGGATATCTAATCCTTAATCCAGCGAGCCCCTCCCCCTGCACACACACACACACAATCCTGGAAACAAACACAGGATTAGGATTAACTGATGATCTTTAAATCGGTCAAAATTTGAATGGACTTTGGTTCACAGCTTGCGCCTCTCCTCTAAAGCTGACCTTTGACCTGCAGCTCAGCAGTCAGCTCCTCCTCCCTGTGAAGCTGCTGGCCCTTTAAGAGAGGAAGAGCACAGGATGAGCCCCCCCCTCACACACACACACACACACACACACACAATCCTGGAAACAAACACAGGATTAGGATTAACTGATGATCTTTAAATCGGTCAAAATTTGAATGGACTTTGGTTCACAGCTTGCGCCTCTCCTCTAAAGCTGACCTTTGACCTGCAGCTCAGCAGTCAGCTCCTCCTCCCTGTGAAGCTGCTGGCCCTTTAAGAGAGGAAGAGCACAGGATGAGCCCCCCCCTCACACACACACACACACACACACACACACCCTCCTCCTCCTCAGCTGCACATTGTTCTGTGGCTCCGGGAGAAGCCACTTCCTCCTGCTGCTGCTGCTGCTCAGCCCGCTGCAAACGGACAGACAGACAGTTTCAGTGCCTCCGACGGAGAGACGGCGTCTGTCTGTGTGTCCGACAGGATCAGCTGAGGGGGGCGGACACGCGAGCACAGACAAAGACTCGCAGACAGACGAACAGACTGGACGAATGGACTGACAGGATGCGGCACCGCTGGACCCTCGGGCTCGCCCCCAGGTAGGAACAAAGACTCTCCTCCTTTTTTCATGGATGCTCCTGCTCCTGTTGTCATGGTAACCATTTCCCAGTCTGAGGTCACGGAGAGGAGGAGGGCCGGTTTGTTACATCAGCCGGCACTTCCTGTTTTTACCTGCGTGATGTCATCAGACGTCTGCGGGTCACGTGACTGTAGAGCTTTTGTTTGTTTCAGCTGCAGCTGAGATTTTCACAATAAACAAACAGTATAATCAGCCTCCTGCTGACAGAAGCCTCGTGATCGATGAACGTCCACACTTACATGATAAAGCATCCTGACTCATTTACAGCTTTTAATCTTTTTAGAACTTTATTGTGAAAATTCCTCAAACCTGTTTGTAAAATATAAAAAAATGTTTATTTTATTCTGAAATCAGACATCACTGTGGAACAACAACAGCAGAGTTCTTGTTCAGATTGTTAAAACCTGTTTACAGCTGTCTGAGGTTCTCTGTTTAGACCTGTGGTTGGGGTGGACGTAGCTCTCTCTGAGGTTCTCTGAGGTTCTCTGAGGTTCTCTGGGGTTCTCTGGGGTTCCCTCTGCATCTCTCTAAGTGCTGCTGGTTCTGTCAGAAAAGCTCTCCTGTCCGTAAGATCACAGTCTGGGATGTGTGTGTGGACCTCCTCAGGTTGGTCGTTCAGAATCTTTGGCTGGTTTGTTTTTATCCTCAGTGATACTTTGACCTCTGACCTCTCAGCGCTTCATTCATTGTCGTGTTTCTGCCCACGGTGACCTATGGGATTCAAACCAGCAGCCCTGGTTCACAGGTCACTTCCTCTGCGTCTGGCTGGCCTCAAACAGCTGATCAGCTCCTCCATCTTCTCCTCTGCAGGAGTCTGTGACACAGACAGTGTGAGCTCCTCACAGCAGGAGCTGACCTCTGACCTCTGACCGCCTCGTCATGCTCTGAGACTCTGAGAGAAATAACTGCTGTTGCATTAAAGCAGCCGGTCAACAGGAAAACAACCCCAGGAAGTCTGCTTCCTCACACACACACACACACACCCCTGCTTTGTCCTGACTGTGTGTGTGTGTGCGTGTGTGTGTGTGTGTGTGTGTGTGTGTGTGCGTGTGTGTGTGTGTGTGTGTGCGTGTGTGTGTGTGTGTGTGCGTGCGCGTGTCCTATTTCCTTTGTTTGACGGCCTGGTTGGGAGAACAACAACAACAGCACATGAGGATGTCTGTGAAGGCTCTCGGTCACCCAGGGTGGCTCTTAAGTTAAATCATGGTTCTAGCTGCGCACTTGCATGAAGAGGCGGGGCCGGCAGCATCTGACCAATCTAAAAGGAGCGTTTCATGGATCACGTGACTCTCCTTTCACAGAGGTGTCACTGCTCCGCAGATGTTATCAGATGACGATTGAAGACGTCTAATCTAACAGTGAATAATCTGAGCGACCTCAAAGGGTGATTCTGTTCATCAGGACGTTTCAGTGGGAGAAACCTTTCATCATCATCATCATCATCAGCTGACTTCTTCAGTCTCAGCTGACTGCAGGTTTCCTTTAAACAGGACGTTTGCACAATGACTGGAACCAGCCCACTGAAGGAGCTGGGAGGTCAGCTTGTGATCGTTCATCTGCAAACTGACCACAGCTATGAGAACCATTCACAGAGAGTTGATCACACACTGACCTCACAGCGTTGCAGGATGTACTTACGTGATGACTGAGCGTGATCGAGACATTTTAACAGGGTGCACCTCTAAGACAAGCTTTCTGTGTGATCAGCTGAGTCACCTTCTGGCTTCGATCAACCTGCTGCTGGGCTCTGAACACCACACCCTGAGGTGAGAGGTGTCATGATGGTCTCGTACCACGTTACATCTGTCTCCACTTGCATCCCAGTTAGGGAAGCGTAGTTCGTAAGAGATTACAGGACGACCCCACTCTCAGCGTGGACCAAGTGTGCTTGAGCTGTGTCTTCAGTGTGTGTAGAGTCCATCGTGTCTTTGTGTCTCGCTCCCTCGTCCCTTTGTGTCTTAGTCGTG